GGCGTGGCCATCCCCCCTGGGGGGTGATTTCTCGCTTTCTGTCTCTATGTCTCTCTCTGTCTGTCTGGTGAGCGCACACGCCCTATAGCGAAAACCTTTGCTATAGGGCATCTGTGCTTGCTAGAGTAACAGAGAGAGACAGAGAGATGAAAAGTGAGAAATCACCCCCCAGGAGGGTGGTCACACCACAACCCCTTCTCCTCCAGTCTTCTCTGGAGATTTTGGGCATGCACAAACTCATACCTGGTGTTGAGTTTTAAGCTGCTGGGTTCAGTACTTGAATTGCGGTCGACTATGTGGGAGTCCAGTGATGTAACCATTATACCATCTACTGGTCTTAACATTTTTCCTTTAATTACTTTATTTCTTGCATGGGAAAATTAGTTACCTAAAGATATAGCTTTTTCTGCTGCAAATATATTTTCTTAGTTCATCATAATTGGCACTATTTATACCTTTCTTACTTATGAAGGTATAATTGCCATGTTCTTCAATATTGATCCAGTTGGTGAATAAAGATCCATCTGCCCACATTCATAGTTTCTGCACATTGTATTTGTTCAGTCCAAACCAATGTGAAGATGGCCCCAGATTCTGCAGCAAATATTTTATTTATTGCTGGGAACTGACGCTTGCCAGAGATGCATAAGAGGCTGTCCTTTGTAATGGTCTAAGTTTTTCTTTTTATTCTTTTTCTTTCCTTTTTGGAGAGGTTTTTGCTATAGGGTGCATATACTTGCCAAAGTGACAGAGAGAGACAGAGAAATAGAAAGCAAGAAATCACCCCCCAGGGGAGATGGTCACGCCGCAATTCCTTCTCCTCCATTCTCCTCTCGGGATCTTGGGCACGCACGCACACATGACTGGCATGAGTTTAAGCCACCAGGTCCACTCAAACCACGGTCGACTACATGGGAGTCCAGCGACATAGCCATTATGCTAACTGCTGGCCCCTAAGTTGTTTCTTTTTCAAATTGAAGGAAACAAGTATTTATTTGAGTTCAGCCTTCTGGACATATAGTTGATTCCTCTAAGCATGAGTTTTCTTGAAATATCCTTGATATTCCAATTTTTTTAGGAAATACTAAAGTGCTCCAAAGAAGAAAAATAATGCCTCCACATATCAAACTTGAGATGATGATCATTTTCTTTGTTGTCCTACCTCATGAACTGGTGGTCTTCTGCCCTACAGCTTCTGTCTCACTCTGCTTCTCAGTTTCTTCTTCCATCCTCGACCTTCACGGGGAAGGTTAGCCTGTTATCACAGAGACTGGAGCAATCCTGGGGATGAATTGCTGATTATATGTGGAGACTTAAAACTGCAGGAAACAAAGAACCTGGTTTTCTGGGAGGTTGTCGCCACAGCAGGACCAAAAAAAAAAAAAAAAACACAAACATCCTCCACTGGGACTTAGGCAGGGTGGTCCCACTGATATCTCATTTACCCTGTCCTCTGACCTTTCCAGGAGGCAGGGGCAGTAGGGCGGCTGACCCTGAAGATGACTTTATGTGTATTTATAGAGATGTTTAATTAGTTTTACAGCTTTGAGGATTATATTATTTGAATGGGCCGTTATTTCCTCAAATAACTCCCTTTAAAAAGGGAATGCTTGTGGGGTCAGCAGGTGGCATAGTGGTTAAGGCGCTAGACTTTCACATGGTTGACTGTGGTTTGAGTCCCAGACCCAGTGACTTGAAACTCCCGCAGGATGCATGTGCATGTGTGCCTAAAATCCCAAGAAGAGAATGGAGAAGAAGGGATTGTAGCATGGCTACCTCCCCCCACCCTGGGAGGTGATTTCTCACTCTCTCTCTCTCTGTGTATCTTTGGCGAACACAACTGCCCTACAGCAAAAATCTCATTTGAAAAAAATAAAATGGACACTTGAGGTGCTTCCAATATTGTACCTTAATCAATAACCTTTGCAGTTCTAAGCATATATTCTGAATTTCCATGTAAAATATGTGTGATATAAAATGAAAAAATATTTACTAGATTTTGCACGGGAAATTGCAAGAGAGATGGAGTTAACACTTTTTTGTGTGTTTATTTTTCTAACAATTTTTCCTCAGCCCCAGTATCTCATAGATAGTAAAGTGATGGGCTCTACCAACTTAGAAGTGGGGATTGTATTGCTCACTCATACAGGAACTAGGGTCTTGGGAAATTTCTCACTCTTTTATCTTTATAACTTCATTTTGATCACTGGAAAAAAATCTCAGATCCACAGACTTGATTCTCAACCAACTGGTCTTAGACAACTTATTGGTGCTCTTTTCAAGAGGGATCCCTCAAATGATGGCAACTTCTGGATGGAAAAACTTCCTGGGTTATGTTTGATGTAAAGTTGTCTTCCTTTTACACAGTGTGGGCCTGAGTGGTTTCCAGGCCATTATATTTCATTCCAATATCTCCAGGCAGATGAAACTCAGAATTCGATCTCCAAAGTACATTGGCTTCTGCTATTTTCTCTATTGTATCTTATACCTCTTGGTAAATGTCTATATTCCTTTGACAGTGGCCAAAAGAAATAATACAGACATAAGTGGAGAATTTTCATATGACTGAGGACACTGTTAATTTGAAAGCTCATTAGTTGCAATAATTTTCTCCTTTGTTGATATGCTTGGGCTTTGTGATCTTGGCAAGTAGCTCCATGGTCCTTATCCTGCACAGGCACAGTAGCAAGTCTAGCACATTTACAGCCATAGACTTCCACCCAAACTTCCTCATGAGGCCAGGGTTACATGTACCATCCTGATCCTTATGAGGTCTTTTTGTCTCTTGTTACTTGTCATCAATTTTGGCTCTTTGTGTTATTCTAACGATGTATCCAAGTTAGAATTTGGTGGACCCTTCTGTGTTGTTGACTTCATGCTTGCCAACATTCAGCCCATTTGTGCTCATCAGCAGTGACATTTATTTCTGTCGATTCTTTTACTACTGGTCCAGAAAAATGTGTTTTTCCTAATGGGGATAAACAGCTACGAGTCTGATTACTGCAGCAGAATCAATGACTAATATAATTTCAAGTGACTACTAGATGCTAAGAATTCTTCTTTAAAAAGAATTATTTATGGGACTAACATTTAGCACAATGGCTATGTTGCTGGACTCCCACATAATCGACCATGGTTCGAGTCCCGGACCTGGTGGCTTAAACTCACTCTGGGCGCATGTGCGTGCATGCCCAAGATCC